GGTAAAATTAAGAGAAGGATGTTGCCATTTCAACTTGACTCACCCTTTTGTGGGCAGGGGTAAGATTTAGAGAAGGATGTTGCTCTTCCAAGTTGACTCACCCTTTGGTGAGCCACCCGAGGGTACAATTTAGAGAAGGATGTTGCCATTTCAACTTGACTCGCCCTTTTGTGGGCAGGGTAAAATTTAGAGAAGGAAGTGGTCACTCCAACTTGACTCACCCTTTTGTAGGCCATGCAGGGGTAAAGTTTAGAGAGGGAAGCGGCCATGCCAACTTGACTCACCCTTTTGTGGACCCATGCAGGGGTAAAATTTAGAGAAGGATGTTGCCCTTCCAAGTTGACTCACCCTTTGGTGAGCCACCCGAGGGTAAAATTTAGAGAAGGATGTTGCCATTTCAACTTGACTCACCCTTTTGTGGGCAGGGTAAAATTTAGAGAAGGATGTTGCCCTTCCAACTTGACTTACCCTTTGGTGAGCCACCCGAGGGTAAAATTTAGAGAAGGATGTTGCCATTTCAACTTGACTCACCCTTTTGTGGGCAGGGTAGAATTTTGAGAGCCCTTTGGTGACCCTCGGGTGGGTAAAATTTAGAGAAGGATGTTGCCATTTCAACTTGACTCACCCTTTTGTGGGCAGGGTAAAGTTTAGAGAAGGAAGTGGTCACTCCGACTTGACTTACCCTTTTGTGGGCCATGCAGAGGTAAAGTTTAGAGAGGAAAGTGGCCATGCCAAGTTGACTCACCCTTTTGTGGGCCATGCAGGGGGAAAATTTAGAGAAGGATGTTGCCATTTCAACTTGACTCACCCTTTTGTGAGCCATGCAGGGGTAAAATTTAGAGAAGGATGTTGCTCTTCCAAGTTGACTCACCCTTTGGTGAGCCACCCGAGGGTAAAATTTAGAGAAAGATGTTGCCATTTTAACTTGACTCACCCTTTTGTGGGCAAGGCAGGGGTAAAATTTAGAGAAGGAAGTGGTCATTCCAAGTTGACTCACCCTTTGGTGAGCCACCTGAGGGTAAAATTTGGAGAAGGATATTACCATTTCAACTTGACTCACCCTTTTGTGGGCAAGGCAGGGGTAAAATTTAGAGAAGGAAGTGGTCATTCCAAGTTGACTCACCCTTTGGTGAGCCACTGGAGGGGTAAAATTTAGAGGAGGAAGTGGCCATTCCATCTTGACGACCCTTGTAAGTGAGCAAACATGCGGGAAAGGGCCTGTGTGCGCACTTGAGTCTGCCCGATGGACTGTGTGCGCGCATGAGTCAAATCAGTGTGCGCAGATGAGGCGCAAGTGCTAACAAAATGTGTGTGCGCAGATGAGCCGCCGCCCTTCCAATAAAGCCCCGCGACAATTACATTCTTCACTAAGCCCCGCGACAATTACATTCTCCACTAAAGCCCCGCGACATTACATTTTCCAATAAAGCCCCGCGATAATTACATTCGTTAGCATAAAAATAAAAACCCTCAGCATAAAAATAAAAACCCTCAGCATAAAAATAAAAACCCTCAGCATAAAAATAAAA